CAAATCATTTAAAAAATGTAATCACGTGATTTAACCTCTTCCGGCAGCGGTATTTAATTGTCCCCACTTTTACGTCTTCACTGAAGTTAACAATGTGGCGACATCTGCCGTAAGGTTCCTCTGGCGGGAAGTTCCCTGATTGGTCACGAAAAGGTACCTTTGGCGGGAAGTTCCCTGATTGGTCACGAAAAGGTACCTTTGGCGCGAAGTTCCCTGATTGGTCACAAAGTCAGCACCAACTCCACAACTTCCCTCCCTCCTCCCCCGCCCCTTTTCTTACGTCCAACTAGTAATAATCTTATTAATTCGAACGCGGCTGCTTTTGTGTGACGGAGGGTGCTGTTGGACTTGCCTATCGAGTGCTTATGTATTAGTGACTATGAGGAAGTGAAGTCTAGCTCTTCATCCCCCGCCTTAGCCTTGTTGAATCTGTTGCGTTATAAATTAACTATTCTAATTTTTCTGTCGAATCAGACCTTAAAGTTGTGGATGGAGTGGCTTCCCCAACTTCTCCTTTCAGTGCATTCCACTTGTTGACCACCTATACAGGCTACGGGTATTTCCTTACATTTCCTCAACTCATTTTTTACAGCTTCCTCTTATCCTTCTTTCTTTCAGTTGTCTATTTCCCCTCAGTATCTTTTATGTCGTGATCATATCTCGACTGTTTCGTCCGTCTTTCAGAATTATGAGAATTAGTTCCCTCAACCCATCCTCATTGCTTAATCCTCATGTCAGTGGCCATAACCTTGTTGCAAACGCTTGTGCTATTCTGTTCTAGTTTTATGTTTCGCAAAGTAGGGATTCCAGGCCGGTGCTGTATACTTCAGTACTTGTCTAACAATAGCTGCGTCGATTACTTTGAAAGAATAATGATTTAGGTTACTAAATGGCGTTCTGTTTGCCAGCGTCCCATGTGATGCTGATTGTGTCCCGTTTGTATGTGTGTGTGTGTGTGTGTCTCTCTCTCTCTGATGTTAATATTGCCACTGCATCCACTTTAAACTCACTCACTCACTCAAAATCTCCCTCTCCCCCCTCCCCACTCCCCCCTCTCTCTCCCTCTTTCCCCCCCTTTCTGATTCTTTTAGTTGCCTCCCATTTATGGTGTAGACATCTTCTGGTCTTCATTTCCCCATCTTCATTACCCGACACTTACTGGTATTTAATTCCATCAACCATTTGTTTGCCCACTCCTGGAGTCTGGCAAGGTCTTGTTGGGATTTTCTGCAGTCCTCGTCTGTTTTTACATTCCTCGTTAACTGTGCGTAGTATGCAAACACTAACATATGAACTCGAGGAAGTGAGCTCATATAATTGACATCTATGAGTAGTAGAGGTCCCAGGACCGAGCCTTGCGGGACCTCCCTCCCCCCCCCCCCCCCAATTTATTAAATACAATTGTTACATTTTTTCAACTCGAGACCTCACCTCTGACTGGGACCGTCTGCTCACCTTCAGATATTACCTAACCAGTTCAGTGTCTTCCCAATTGTCCCTACTTGCCTCTCCATCTTGTCCTATAACGCGATCAAGTTTTCCAGGCGCGACTTTCCGTCTTGTAAATCCATGCTGACCTTTCATTACGAAGCTATAGTCGTCAGGTGCTCCAGTATTCTCCACCTGATTACTCTCTCCACTTTATGCTGAACACTTGGTAATGACTCCGGTCGGTAACATAGTGCCTCCTGTCTCTCCCACGGTGTTTCAATATTGGGAAAACGTTTGCCTTTTTTTTCCAGAATTCTGGATTTCGGGTCTCAGTATTATACCTATTCATTAACTCCTTTGCATAAATAATAAGCAAATTAAATTAAATTAGTTAAAGGCTTTGACCTCTCGTTAATCGTCTCGCTCAACAATAATTATCAGATCCTCTTGAGTGAGGCCAGCAAGTGAGGCCAGCAAGTGAGGCCAGCAAGTGAGGCCAGCAAGTGAGGCCAGCAAGTGAGGCCAGCAAGTGAGGCCAGCAAGCAAAGACTCGCCCATCTCATCAACCAACATGGAGAACAGTCAACTCCAGCTCCCGGTCCCGGTTGCCGTAGCGAGACCTTGTGGTCCACCTGCAACTTCCTTTGGTTGATCACAGGCCCACGAGGGCGTGTGATTGGCCAGAGGTGACAGTGTCCCCCACTCCCCCCTCCACCCCCCGTGGGGGGGGGGGGGAGACTACACTGTCACCACACGCTAGCAACTCTGCCAGTGTCTGGGACACTCCCCCCCCCCCCTGGGGCAGTGTCCCCTGCTACCACCAACCGTAGCCAGTAATTAGGTCTCATTTAGCTCGGTTGTGGGAGCTATTGTCTTGGACATTCCCCGGGAGGGGAACTGCCAATTACCACAAACAAAGCGTAATAATGTCACCATTTTGTTGACTTGAGTGCCGAGCCACTCACCGTCACTCACCACTTCCCTGCTTAACTGTCCCTCTTCATTCATGTCCTCCTTCCCTCAAGCTACACCCAACAACTTGGACTGGACGATAGAGGGACGGTCTCTCTCTGCGCAGGTCGGCGTTCAATCCCCGACCGTCCATGTGGTTGGGCACCATTCCTTCCCCCTCCCCTCCCCTCCCCCGTCCCATCCCAAATCCTTATCCTGATCCCTTCCAAGTGCTATACAGTTGTAATGGCTTAGCTCTTAACCCTGATAGTTCCCTTTCCTTCAGCATTTGTTTCCCCAAGGGAGCCGGTCGGCCGAGCGGATAGCACACTGGACTTGTGATCCTGTGGTCCCGGGTTCGATCCCGGGCGCCGGCGAGAAACAATGGGCAGAGTTTCTTTCACCCTATGCCCCTGTTACCTAGCAGTAAAATAGGTACCTGGGTGTTAGTCAGCTGTCACGGGCTGCTTCCTGGGGGTGGAGGCCTGGTCGAGGACCGGACCGCGGGGACACTAAAGCCCCGAAATCATCTTAAGATAACCTTAAGATAGAAGACGCTATTCCTGTCCGTGCCACCTCCTGGGTGACTTGATCTTCAATCAATCAATCAACACTTGGGTCCCGCCTCTCCTTGATCGTTCCTGGAGGCTCTCACTGCATACTTATCGACGTTATCTTGGAGGCACTTCGAGTCCCCAAGACAGGGCCGCCGTCGCCAATGTGAAATTACGACAGAGTTGAATAACGATGCGACCATCTGGATATAACGCATACCCCCATCATCGCAGCGTCCAGGGCATTATAACTGGGTCACGTGACTCCCTGCCAGGCTTAATCCTCCATTCTGATTGGTCGTTCTGATCTCCCTGTAACCCAACTGGATTGCGCACATCGGTACTTGGCCCACACCTCACTCGATTAAAAAAAATAAAAAAAAATAAAATAAAATGTTTATTTAGGTAAGGTACATACATACAATAAATTTTTACAAAGATTGGTTGACTTATAGGTAGAGCTAGTACATGCAATGCCTAAAGCCACTATTACGCAAAGCGTTTCGGGCATTTGTATAGACTATTTGTTCATTTTCTTGCACCCGCACCGTTACTGTGCCAGGTAAGTCCACTACGGGCTCACCATAGCCTGTGCTACTTGGAACTTGTTCCGATTAGCTGAATCTATAACAACAACATTTTCTTGCACTGCATCTGCCGAGTGTGACGTCACGTCCCTCATCTGGAACGCCCACCAGCACCCTTCTCCAGTCTCATCTACTAACGTGACATAAAATAAATTAACAAACAGTTCTATAAACTAAGATGCAGATGATGGAAGAGCTTCCAACTGGTTACTAAAAGGTCTGTGTCGAGCTACGAAACCTGGCTCCCCTCCACCGGCTGCGGCCGCCCCAACACTCGTATGCGTGTGTTCAGTACATGTGTTATACGTATACCTCAGTGGTGAACAATTGAACAATGAACACTATAATATATTATTACATGCATAACAGTTAATCAATACCTCGTACCCTCCCTCCCTCCCTCCCTTCCTCCAGGCATTCCTCCCTCCCTCCCTCTCTCCCTGTCTCTCCCTCCCTCCTTCCAGGCATTCCTCCCTCCCTCTCTCTCCCTCCCTCCAGGCATTCCTCCCTCCCTCTCTCTCCCTCCCTCCAGGCATTCCTCCCTCCCTCTCTCCCTCCAGGCATTCCTCCCTCCCTCTCCCTCCAGGCATTTCTCCCTCCCTCCTTTTCTCCCTCTCTCCCTCCAGTCATTCCTCCCTCCCTCCCTCCCTACCACATAATCAGTTCAGTGCCTCTTAATTTTAATTGTTGAAGCTCATTAAACAGTTGCCACTCCAGTTGTTAGCTAATCAAGTTACTGTTGCAGTGAGTATCGCAGATTCACCCTTCGCGAACTACTGCTAATGAAACTATCAATATGCATTAACAATTCCCTTCTCACTTGGGTGTTTGTGAGGCGCCCACCGGAGACCAGACGCACCAGCCTAATGGACAACTTTCGCCGGCATTTTGAAGTCGAATTTGCCGAGGGCCGCGTTGCTGTGGGGCCGAGGGCCGTGTTGCTGTGGGCCGAGGGCCGCGTTGCTGTGGGGCCGAGGGCCGTGTTGCTGTGGGCCGAGACAGTTACTGTGGGCCGAGGGCCGTGTTGCTGTGGGCCGAGGGCCGCGTTGCTGTCGGGCGAGGGCCGCGTTGCTGTGGGCCAAGACAGTTACTGTGGGCCGAGGGCCGTGTTGCTGCACGACAAAGCGTCGCCCACACGTCCTTTGAACAGCTTGAACACACTGAAGCAGCAGCGATACGGGGAGAGAAGGTATCCTTATAGGGTTCTTGCAACCCACTAGCCATTGTATAGTACAGCGAGCGCCAGTGTATTGGAGTGACAGTCTTGCCAACTGGCTGCCGTCCCATTAGCAGGTAATGAAGAACAATGACGGCCAGAGCCTGTGCAGTGCAGAGGAGCGCCAGGATAGGGGTGTGGGGCGCTCGGGTGCTGGGAACAAACAAACTACATTCAGGCAGACTTGGCCCATTCAATGACATCAACCACGTGTTGCTTGACTGCAGGCAGGCAACACTTGCAACCGGAAGCACAATTACATTATCTCTCGCCATTTCCCCCACACATGTCGCTGTGGCTGGTTGACACAAACAATTGTTCTACAATAGACGTTAAGCTGACACATTCTACAATAGACGTCAACAAAAGACGTCTATTGTCTATTAAATTTTGTGACAGCAGGATACGTCCAACTGTCCATAGCTCAGGGTGAACTATGGGCAGTTGCCACTCGGTTCTCAGTTCAAAAATCGTGATCACAGAGACAAGCAAATTGTAGAACAGAACACTCGGATTTGTGTGATGGTAGGCGTCCTGACAGGTCCACGACTCCTGACAGGGCCCACGACTCCTGACAGGGCCCACGACTCCTGACAGGGCCCACGACTCCTGACAGGGCCCACGACTCCTGACAGGGCCCACGACTCCTGACAGGGCCCACGACTCCTGACAGGGCCCACGACTCCTGACAGGGCCCACGACTCCTGACAGGGCCCACGACTCCTGACAGGGCCCACGACTCCTGACAGGGCCCACGACTCCTGACAGGGCCCACGACTCCTGACAGGGCCCACGACTCCTGACAGGGCCCACGACTCCTGACAGGGCCCACGACTCCTGACAGGGCCCACGACTCCTGACAGGGCCCACGACTCCTGACAGGGCCCACGACTCCTGACAGGGCCCACGACTCCTGACAGGGCCCACGACTCCTGACAGGGCCCACGACTCCTGACAGGGCCCACGACTCCTGACAGGGCCCACGACTCCTGACAGGGCCCACGACTCCTGACAGGGCCCACGACTCCTGACAGGGCCCACGACTCCTGACAGGGCCCACGACTCCTGACAGGGCCCACGACTCCTGACAGGGTCCACGACTCCTGACAGGGTCCACGACTCCTGACAGGGTCCACGACTCCTGACAGGGTCCACGACTCCTGACAGGGTCCACGACTCCTGACAGGGTCCACGACTCCTGACAGGGTCCACGACTCCTGACAGGGTCCACGACTCCTGACAGGGTCCACGACTCCTGACAGGGTCCACGACTCCTGACAGGGTCCACGACTCCTGACAGGGTCCACGACTCCTGACAGGGTCCACGACTCCTGACAGGGTCCACGACTCCTGACAGGGTCCACGACTCCTGACAGGGTCCACGACTCCTGACAGGGTCCACGACTCCTGACAGGGCCCACGACTCCTGACAGGGCCCACGACTCCTGACAGGGCCCACGACTCCTGACAGGGCCCACGACTCCTGACAGGGCCCACGACTCCTGACAGGGCCCACGACTCCTGACAGGGCCCACGACTCCTGACAGGGCCCACGACTCCTGACAGGGCCCACGACTCCTGACAGGTCCACGACTCCTGACAGGTCCACGACTCCTGACAGGTCCACGACTCCTGACAGGTCCACGACTCCTGACAGGTCCCACGACTCCTGACAGGGCCCACGACTCCTGACAGGGTCCACGACTCCTGACAGGACCCACGACTCCTGACAGGGCCCACGACTCCTGACAGGGCCCACGACTCCTGACAGGGCCCACGACTCCTGACAGGGCCCACGACTCCTGACAGGGCCCACGACTCCTGACAGGGCCCACGACTCCTGACAGGGCCCACGACTTCTGACAGGGCCCACGACTCCTGACAGGGCCCACGACTCCTGACAGGGCCCACGGCTCCTGACAGGGCCCACGAGGTCCGTATTTGCACATCAATAAAGGATACAATTACTAAATGTTTAACGACAAGATTAACACTCGACTGCAAACCAGAGACACTCAGTCTTATCAAGTGTATTTCAAGGTCAGTTTCAGTCTTGGAAAGGTCAGTTTAAAAAGTCTGCCAGTTTGACTGGTCAGTAGGATGGTGGCCTCACTTTTTACAGAGTCGGCGTTCAATCCCCAATAGTCTAAGTGAACGGACAACGTTCCTTGTCCTCATATATCCTTTCCAAGTGCCATTGAGTCGTACTGGCGTAGCGCTATCTCCTGATAACTACCATTATGAAGGACAGTTGCTTGCCATTCGACTTGAGAATGGTCCAGGACGGACCGAAACGTCGTCGTCCCTTCACCTTCTAGTGTGTGGTCTAGTCAACATTCTTCAGCCACGTTATTGTGACTCATCGCCTGCATAACATTATCAAGATCATCAGGACGGGCAGTGCTGGTAGTTTAGTTCTGATGAGAAGATGACGTAAGGTTGAGAGAAGACATTGTTTTTTTTTTTTTTTTTTTTTTTTTTTGATATATACAAGAGTTGTTACATTCTTGTACAGCCACTAGTACGCGTAGCGTTTCGGGCAGGTCCCTGGAATACGATCCCCTGCCGCGAAGAATCGATTGTTTTGTTCATTGTTCATTCAAGAATCATTGTTTTGTTCTTTCAACAGCTTCCCGAGTCAGTGTTCGGATGAGAAGCGAAGTGTTCCATCACACGGTCTCACATCAACTCGGTGGCTTGTTCCAACACACTGGAACCAGAAATCGAGCGTTCAGGCGTCGTAAATTTGACGGCTCGGGTAAAAATATTAGCCAGGGCAAGCACCGCCATTCGTTCCTGAATATGCTGGAGAATTTCCCGTGGCCCGGGGTCCACCGCTCTCGTTTAATTTGTAATTTATTCTGTGATTATAGTTTAACTGATGATTCTGTTTAGTTGTGTAACTAACAATGCTCGCGGTTAAATATTTATGGAGCAATTGCTGATAATATATAATTCAAATAGCCTGTGTTTCACGGTTCTTTTATCACGCGTGTGGAAATTAACAATGCGTTATACTTTTAGTTAACACAAGCCGTCTCTTGTGTAATTTAGTAGATATACATAGTACACACACAGTACACAATGACAAAATTATACCGATACTGATTTTGTATAAATTAACGTCATTTGTTGGGTTAGTACGTTTAACTGTAGGATTCTAATTACCAAATAATCATCCTCCAGCATGTAGAGAAATTATTATCTTTTGGAAATTTATCTGTCGAAATTGTGACACGAGCCAAGTCCCCCATTTTGTAATTTTACATTATTATTATTATTATTATTATTATTATTATTATTATTATTATTATTATTTGCACACTTGTTAGTACAAGAGCATACGACTGCTGTCTTCTGTTAGCTGGCTTTCTAAGCTTATAGACAGAAATTATTTATTTTATTTCACTTATAGTTACAATCTTCTACAAGGATACAAATTCTCCAACAAAAAAAGCCAAATCTACCAACAACAACAACAAAAGAAGCAAAATTTGCAAACAAAAAAATTAAAATCCGCCAAAATATTGATTTTTTTTAAGTGATGGAAACTAAAATTACGGACTTTGAGAATTTTTTAAAATTGTCCAGGACGCAAATTTTGAGACGTGAACCCAGGACATATCGTGGACGATACTGACGTCTGGCAACCCGAATTTACTCACAAACACAATCTTTGGATAATATTTAAAACCAATATTAATTATTACGAATGTAATTAAAATTGTTAAGTAATACGATATTAAAATTGTGATAATGTAGTAAATAATAGGAAAATTCATTGATGATAATGGATGAGACTGACGATAAGGAACGAGATTGATGATGTTAATTGTCTGGGATAACAACAAATTAATTTATATCACAAAGGTCGGTTTGTTTATGCTATCGACACAAGGAGGATGCAACTTTATTTCTCTTTGCATTGCTCTACAGAGCAACAGCGGACGTAGCAATGGGAAGCAACAGGAGTGGAAGTTGCAAGGGAAAGATAGAGGGGCACTTGGGCAGTTAGTGGCACACCGGAGCACTGCAAATTAACAATCAAATACTGCCTAATATTTCTTTTGAACAACCAACATTAAATCCTCATCTCATGAGCGAGACAGTTTAAATTGCGGACTCGTTTATCGAAGCTATTTTGAAGGCTGGTTGGTGAAGCCTCGAGGGAGTGTATATCGCATCAAGTGTGTGAATATCTGATCAATTCCTCATTTAAACTCTAGTAGACTTGAAGAAATGCATACCTTCAAGTGTACAATCTTGGGGACCCTCCAACGAACTGACGAGCGACTTCAACGACGTTTGTGAGAGTCGCATGCCAAGGAGGACCGGGTGTGGCAAGGGGCCCTCAAGGAGCAGACTCGACACCAGCAGCCTCAAGGAGCAGACCCGACACCAGCAGCCTCAAGGAGCAGACCCGACACCAGCAGCCTCAAGGAGCAGACCCGACACCAGCAGCCTCAAGGAGCAGACCCGACACCAGCAGCCTCAAGGAGCAGACCCGACACCAGCATCCTCAAGGAGCAGACCCGACACCAGCAGCCTCAAGGAGCAGACTCGACACCAGCAGCCTCAAGGAGCAGACTCGACACCAGCAGCCTCAAGGAGCAGACTCGACACCAGCAGCCTCAAGGAGCAGACTCGACACCAGCAGCCTCAAGGAGCAGACTCGACACCAGCAGCCTCAAGGAGCAGACTCGACACCAGCAGCCTCAAGGAGCAGACTCGACACCAGCAGCCTCAAGGAGCAGACCCGACACCAGCAGCCTCAAGGAGCAGACCAACATCAGCAGCCTCAAGGAGCAGACCCGACACCGGCATCCTCAAGGGGCAGACTCGACACCAGCAGCCTCAAGGAGCAGACTCGACACCAGCAGCCTCAAGGAGCAGACTCGACACCAGCAGCCTCAAGGAGCAGACTCGACACCAGCAGCCTCAAGGAGCAGACTCGACACCAGCAGCCTCAAGGAGCAGACTCGACACCAGCAGCCTCAAGGAGCAGACTCGACACCAGCAGCCTCAAGGAGCAGACTCGACACCAGCAGCCTCAAGGAGCAGACTCGACACCAGCAGCCTCAAGGAGCAGACTCGACACCAGCAGACTCGACACCAGCAGCCTCAAGGAGCAGACTCGACACCAGCAGCCTCAAGGAGCAGACTCGACACCAGCAGCCTCGACACCAGCAGACTCGACACCAGCAGCCTCAAGGAGCAGACTCGACACCAGCAGCCTCAAGGAGCAGACTCGACACCAGCAACCATAGCATCAATGCATCACTGTTGTGTTAAGGAGTCCCCAGCCCCGGTTGAACAACGTTACACAGACGTACGTTGCGTCAATGCGTCACACAGACGTGCGTTGCGTCAATGCGTCACACACTGCTAAGGAGTCCCCCCACACCGCTGCCTTGCGTAGTCTAAAGAGCACATGATATAAAATCAATAATATCGTGTTTCATCGTTCGTTACCTCGTAAACAGAACTGGCATTAAAGCTGCCCTTCTCTTAAGGGAGTACACTGTCTGCATTCAATCGCTTTCTCTCAATTGTATAACGAGGTTCTTACAATTATTATGCTCCAATTCCTGAGATATTGCAGCGTGCTGGCTCTCGCCATCTCTCTCTTCAAAGACGTCCTGTAATTTCTATCCGTTTCATCTCCGGGACGGTTCTAAACCGAGCCTCCTCCGGGTGATACCTCGGTGCTTTCTGTCCTAGTTACTACACGCTTCCTTCCCTCATCCTTCAAGAGCCTCCTCCACCCTCCCAGACGTCGCTCCCCCTCTTTTTCCAGCCCAAACCACCTCTTCCAGCTCTCCCTGACACCTACCTTTCCTTCCAGCTCTCCCTGACCCCTACCTTCCCTTCCAGCTCTCCCTGGCCCCTACCTTCCCTTCCAGCTCTCCCTGACCCCTACCTTCCCTTCCAGCTCTCCCTGACCCTTACTTTCCCTTCCCTCCTACCTTCCCTGACCTCTCCCCCTTCCCTTCTTGCCTGCCCCTTCCCCTCCCCCTCTTCCATCTCTTCCTTTCCAGTCATATCTCCAAGAGGTGGCTGGCGTGTTCGGCTGGCGGGTCCTCAGTTGTATCTCGTTAAACCTGCATTAGCACCAATTACCTGCTAATCCCTCCCCCCTTCCCTCACAGCTGGGGTAAAAAGGTCACATGCCTTTCAGTCCCACACCTGGAGTCTCAAGAGCCTGTTCTTACCTACTTGTGCGGAGCGAGGAGTGGAGTCTCGGCTCTTGGTCCCTGCTGTAACAGGTCTCAAGGTGTATCTTCTACCCCCCAGTGTTATCTCCTTCCTTCCTTCCTCCGTCCTAGTCGTCTCACATTTCCATTGTTGTTGTTTTAGATTCAGCTACTCAGAACAATAAGTTCCAGTAGCACGGGCTATGGTGAGCCCGGAAGACATTTTCAACAAGATTGTGTCACACAGCTGTGCTTGGCAGAGGGTTAGACTTGGGTCACAATTCCAGCACTGTTGATGGGTGCTTCAACGCTGCTCTTTCACACAGCTCCATCCGGCAGCAGGTTGAGGAGGACCTGCCTCGCTCACCACAGTGAGGAAGGTCCTGATGCACAACGTATAATCAAAGTGATTTTATACAGGAATTTATTAAAAGGTGGAAGTGCCATGCCACCACTGACAATGAACAGCTTCCACCTGTATAACACAAACTTCTTTCCAACGGTACACAAGACTGAGGATTGTTTTTTTTCACATTTAAAAAAAAAAAGATACGCGATCTCCACCAACAGGATACAGCGCTCCGTGTACCATGAAAATAGACAATATAAACTTGGGTTTCTACCCGAAGACCCAGGTTCGAATTCTTGAAAGGCTTCCGAGAGAACTGCTGTGAAATGAACCTGATTGACCATTTACTAATACTAAACACACGCTAAACAGAATAGGTAACCACATACAAGTAACCAAATGTTGTAATGCTCCACGAATCTATTAAATTTTGGACTTGTGAGCACTATCCTCCCACACATCGTCCCGGACTGAGCAGAACGTCCGATATGAGCAACCTTACACTAGTCCGACCTGGGCCGGAGCCAGGGACTCGAACCCACCATAGTGGTCATCCTGCAGATACGATGGTCCACGGTTGTTTAACGTCCTCCCAGCGAGTATAAGAAATATTGCCGGAACAACCGTGGACATCTTCAAGAGAAAACTAGATTGTTTTCTAAAAGAAGTGCCGGACCAACCGGGCTGTGGTGGGTATGTGGGCCTGCGGGCCGCTCCAAGCAACAGCCTGGTGGACCAAGCTCTCACAAGTCAAGCCTGGCCTCGGGCCAGGCTTGGGGAGTGGAAGAACTCCCAGAACCCCATCAACCAGGTATCAACCAGGTATCAAACAGATGGAGTTACGCTCTGGTTGCCGTGGCTAGAGTGTCTGTCCTCTCCAAGGCACTAAGCCTGGGTAGGTCTATATAGAGGAGAAGCTGTTACCCATGCAGCAGGTCACCGCTCTCCACGTTGCTGAAATTGTCCAATGGAAAGACAAACGCCAATACGCATGGATCCAGCGCCGATGGAGGAGCTGCCAGAACGATGTTGAAGTCAACAACGAACTGTCTTAGGGGCTCCAGCATTATACCCCCCCCATAATACCCCACCATAATGGGGATCTAATGGGTTGTAGACCCCACCATCTTAGGGAGAGGGGGCATGCACAGTGGCTATATGTGTTGGTGTGGGGGGGGGTACATCGATGTGTATGTCTGGGACTAGTCTCAAGCCATACTGTTAGTATTTCTAGGCGAGTCACCATTATATAAATTCAAATGTATTCTAACTGAAAAAATTTGAAAAAAAGAAACACAATTTCACAAATGCATCACAATACAATTCGTCAAAGCCTGTACCCATCGAGTAACTCTTCTAAATCGGCTTTGAGGCTGGTGAGAGCAGCGTCAACACCAGCAGCAGACGGCTGCCCCAGCCCCCAACAGTGCCGGAGTTCGTCCGCTACTCCACCAGCCGGGAACAACACACACACACACACTCACACAACCATTTCCAGAGAGGTGACGTTTAAATGCAGCTGTCAAAAGGATTTCGTATTTTCCAAGCGAGCAGCAGCAGCAGGTGCGGACAAACACCTTTGTTTTTATATTTGATGTTTGGAGTGCGTGGCGAATCTTTGTGAAAGAGTGGCTTGCACTCTTTTGCAAAGTTTATCAACACAGTAAATATGCAATTTAAAAAAAAATTACAATACGCGAGTCAACACAAATTGAAGGGATACATCAGTCGGGTAATTGATTATTTATTAATACAGTCATATATACGAAAATTACGAGGTGTGAATTCCAGTGTGTTATTGCGGGGGTAATAAACTAACATACATAGATCTTAACGAAGAGTGTCGAGGTAAAACGGTGATCATTGGGACACACGGAGAGGGTAACCAAGCCTTTCATCATACGAGGTGTTTGGCAGCACGTCGCACTGTGTGATTACTGCTTGGCCGAACATCTCTTCCTCCCGACTGCTGCTGCTGCTGCTCCTGGCTGCTGCAGTCAGGAGCCAGGGGCAGCAGCAGCAGCCAGGAATTATTAGGAATTTATATTTTTTTTTACTGTAACATCAAATTACAAAAAATGCGCATTTTGGTAAAGCATGGCTACATATAGCAGCCATGCTGTCGGAAGTAGCAGTAAGTACCGTCACACTGGGAGGACGGCCAGGCTGTTAGTAACCAGTCTACCGTACTCTGGACGGCAGGGGTCACCATCACCCCTAACCTGACCCTTGCCGGTTATTACCGAGTATCCCTGCCGCCCACAGAGCCTCCCGGCCGCCCACAGAGCCTCCCGGCCGCCCACAGAGCCTCCCGGCCGTCCACAGAGCCTCCCGGCCGCCCACAGAGGCTCCCGGCCGCCCACAGAGGCTCCCGGCCGCCCACAGAGGCTCCCGGCCGCCCACAGAGCCTCCCAGCCGCCCACAGAGCCTCCCAGCCGCCCACAGAGCCTCCCAGCCGCCCACAGAGCCTCCCAGCCGCCCACAGAGCCTCCCGGACGCTCGACAATTGGAATATAG